GTACACCATGGGATGGTCAACTGTTCAAGAGAAAAGGGGCGGCATTTACCTAAGGACAAAGTTCAGAAGGGTGGGGAAAGGAAAGGAGGAGGAATGGAAACCGGAACCCCAGGGAGGAAGTGGGCTAAGAGATGTTACTCAGAGGGGATTGTAATCATTGTGATGAAACAAATTGTAGGATTTGTTGAATGTAAAACTGATGATCTGCTCTGTAAATCTTCACTAAGTTCACAAAGAACAGTTTAAAAACAACAACTAAGTTAGCAGCTTAGAACAACAATTTATTATCCTATATTGTTGGTAAGTGCCATTGAGCCAGTTCCAACTCATAGCAACCCTGTATAGGGTTTTAGCTCCATAAATTTTAAGTCTGACACGGCCCCCTGGGCAAGAATCTGAGTGTTGGTGGGCTATGTTCCTTTCTGAATTCTCAGGTGGAGGCTCATTTTCCTGCTCATTACAGCTGTTGGAAGAATTCAGTGAACTGAGGAGCCTGTGTCCTTGCTGGCTATCAGCTGGGGGCTTAGTGACCATCGCAGTCCTGGACGCCATATTCAAAGCTAGCAACACTACGTGGAGTCGCGTTGGATATCTTCCGGGCCTCACTGTTCTCATCTGTGAAGGATGACGTAAGCACACACAAGCATGTGACATAAGCCTGGCTCTGGGGTAGAGTTCAAATACATATGAGTTCTGTCAAATGTATTATTTAATTGGAAAAGTTATTATAGACTGTGACATGTCTAGTGAAAAACAAGAAAGAAGAAAAAGATGAAAATGGATGTCAGAAGAGACTGAAACTTGCTCTCCAGCGTAGAGATGATAAAGCAAATGGAAGAAATGAGGAGGTAAAAGAGCTGAACAGAAAATTTCAAACAGCAGCTCTAGATGACAAAAGTCAAATATTCTAATGAAATGTGCAAAGACCTGGAGTTAAAAACCAAAAGGGAAGAACACGCTCAGCATTTCTCAAACTGAAAGAATTGAGAAAAACAGTCAAGCCTCAACTTGAAATGTTGAAGGATTCTCTGGGCAAAATACAGAGTGATGCAGAAAGCGTCAAAAGAAGATGGAAGAAATACACGGAGTCACTGTACCATAAAGAAATAGTCAACGTTCAACCATTTCAAAAGGTAGCATATGGTCAAGAGCCAATGATACTGAAAGAAGAAGGCCAAGCCACACTGAAGTTATTGGCACAGAACAAGCCTCCGGGAACTGTTTGAATATAAATTGAAATCTTTCAACAAACTGATGTGGCACTGGAGGCACTCACTCATCTATACCAAAAAATTTGGAAGACAGCTACAGGCTATTTTCCATAGCCTCAGATGCATGTAAAAGTTGGACAATGAATAAGGAAGAACATAGAAGAATTCATGCACTTGTGCTATGGTGTTGAAGAAGAATATTAAAAGTACCATGGACCACCAGAAGAACAAACCATCTTTGTTGGGAGAAGTTGTTGTTGTTTAGAAGTACAACCAGAATATTTCTTAGAAGCCAAGATGACCAGACTTTGTCTCTCTTACTTTGGACATATTATCAGGAGGGACCAGTCCCTGGATAGGACATCTTGTTTGGTAAAGTGGAGGGTCAGCAAAAAGAGTGAGATCCCCAACGAGATGTGGCAGCAGCAATGGGCTCAAGTGTAGCAATGACTGTGAGGTTGGCACAGGACGGGGCAGTGTTTTCCTTCTGTTGTGCACAAGGTCATTATGAGTCAGAACCGACTCCACGGCACCTAACAGCAACTGGAACACTGGCGGGGGTGAGCAATGAGTCATTCTAGTTTGCAATAAAATGCTAAGCTACTGAAAAAAGAAAACCAATTGCATACAATGCTTCCTGTTTTGCCATTCAGAATGGAGCATCCTGAGTTGTGGGCTCTAGGGAAATCAGAGGCACCTGCTCAGAAACGGACTTTCTTCCAAATGCGTCTGACCTGCACAGAACGTGGGGCTAAGAGATAGGCTTCTCACTGTCCTCTTTAGTCCTAACTAAAGTCCACTGGTGGTGTCCTCTAGGGCCAAGGCATACTATCTGTGCTTGTTTGCGCTGTGTGACTCAGAGTATGATAGTCTAAGCATGTCTAGCCTTTCCTTAGTGTGGCATTTGGCTTTCAGCAAACTCCCATTCAACTGTGAATGCACTAAATCAACATAATGCCCTTTCAGTTATCCACAGTCCTACCAGGATGTCTTCATAAAAGACAATTACCCAGAAATCCACGTGGACCTGTCTGGGTCCCTCTTTCATAGCCCTCCTTTGTCTTAAAACCAAACAATAGTTTAGCTTAACTGGTTAAAAAAAAAAAAAAAGAGTCTCCCTTGAGCATAATGTTGTGTAAGATCTGTCTATATGGGAGTCCTGGTGAGGCGCTATAGGGCTAGGCTGCAAAGTCAGTTTGAACTGCAAGGTCAGTGGTTCAAGCTCACCAGCCGCTCCTTGGAAACCCTATACAGGGTCGCTATGGGTTGGAACCGACTCAATGGCACTTAACAACAATTGTGAATCAGAATCTCAGAAGCTCAGATAGGAACCTTAGAGGGCAGTGAGTTAGTGGGAGGGAAGGAGGTGAGAATGGGGACCCAATTCGGAGGATGTCATCAATGTCGCTGAATTGTCCATGCAGAAACTGCTAACTTCGTGTATGTTTTGCTTTATATTTTCTCAACAACAACAAAATAACACAATTTAAAAGAAAAGCCCTCCCTTTTATCCTTCAGCCACATAGCCATCCTAAAAGGGCAGAGGAGAACTGCCCCAGAGGGTTTCCAAGGTTTTCAGTCTTTACCAAAGCAGACTGTCTCATCTTTGTTCTGAAGAGTCCCTGGTGGGTTCAAACTGACAACCTTTTGGTTGGAAGGTAAGCACTTAACCATTGTACCACCAGCGTTCCTTATGGTAAGTTGTTGTTGTTATGTGCTGTGGTGTCGGTTCCGACTCATAGCAACCCTGTACAGGGTTTCCAAGGCTGTAAATCTTTACAGGAACAGAAAATCTCATCTTTCTCCCGCGGAACAGCTGGTAGTTTCGAACTGCTGACTGTGAGGTTAGCAGCCCGATTCGTAACCACTATGCTACCAGGGTGAGGAAGTGTAAAGACTATGGCCAAAGGCTTTGCCAGGTCTTCACTGGGATGCTCCCTCGGGTGCTGCCCAGTTCAGATTCTTCATCTGTAAACCCAAGCAAACTAAAGTTCAGAGAGTGAAGTGGCCTGTCCAAAGTTAGAGTTACAAAGTGGCTGAGCTGGGACTGTTTGCTGTTGTTAAGTGCCATCAACTCATAGTGACCCTGTAGGGTTTCCGAGGTTCAAACTGACCTCGCAGCACAGTGCTTATCCTACAGCCTCACACCAGGACACTGAGCTGGGATCAGAGCCAAGGAATTAGATTTGACTTCAAAACCTGTTCTCTATCTCCTTCATCATCCTACCTCAGGCAACATTTTCCTAGTGGCCCCACACCCACTGTTGTTGTAAAAGAGACACCTCCAAGGGTTCAAACCCTGTAGCTGATGCTGTAGGATAAACACTGCTAACCACAAGATGGGCAGTTCAAACCCACCAACTGCTCTGCAGGAGGACGAGGCTTGCTCCCACAAAGATGTAGTCTTAGAAACCTCAGAAGCAAGGTTGCTGAGTCGGGAACGACGCAATGGGTGCCATTAAGGTAGTTGAGCCCTCGTGGCACAGTGGTTAAGCACTTGGCTGCTAATCAAAAGGTCTGGGGATCAAATCCACCAGCTGCTCCAGGGGAGAAAGATGTGGCCGTCTGACTGTAGAGATTTACCCAAGAGGGTTTCCAACACTGTCCTTTAAAGTCAGAGTCAGAATTAAACTCAGTGGCAATAGGTTTGGCTTTGGGTTTTAGCTACTACAGTGTGTTCTAGTGGTCGATGTTTTCCTTCTGCACAGAAGACCCCAGTTCCATTTCCAGCCAATGAACCGCAAAAGCAGCAGCCACCACTCATCTGTGTGTTGCTAGGATGCTGAACAGGTTCCCGCAGAACTTGCAGACTAAGGCAGACAGGAAGAAAAGCCTGGTCATGTACTTCTGAAAATCACTCAGTGAAACAGTGGATCCCAACAGTCTGACTCAGTGGTATAAACCTGGAGTTATCACAGCTAACAACTAGAAATGGCAGCCAGGTTAAGAGGCAGGCCAGGCGGTGTTGGGTTCAAAGTTGAGTCTCCACATTCATCAGTTCTCAGTACCGTTTGTCTCAGTGAGAACTGCTCTCTCCAAGTTCTAGTTAACTTTAAGAAAACCAATGGTCCAGGGTAGAATGCTTCCCCAAACATGGTGCAGCATTAGCTGTGGCTGTTAGGTCCCAAAGCGTCTCCTAAATCGTAATCTCGAAAGCAGAGCACCAGGAGGCAGGTGGGTTAGAACTACTGACTCTTGGTTAGCATCCCTGCGCTTAACCACCGAGCTACCAGAGCTCCTTCAGCTTTAGCTGAGGGCACGAATAAAACAAGACAACCAACAAAACCAAGGCTCTCCGGCGTCAAGGCAGCTGGGCGGCTTATTGCCTCAATTTCCTCCTTTGGCCTCTGAAGTGTAGCTCAGCTGTCCTCGTGGAAAGGATATAGACCTTGGCCATGGAGGCAACTCCCTAAGCCGAATGGCCATTAACCAAACGAAACAGAACCAGTCGTGGTCCTCCAGTGACCTAAGGTTGATGCTGACCAGCGAGAGGGAGAACGAAGGCTGCAGAAGATGCGCGAACTCCATACGCACGCGCGGACAGCACCGGGGGCGGGGCTTACGGGGAGGCGGGGCCAGAGGCCAGCTAAACAAGGACCCGCAAGAAAAGAGAGCGGCGCGTGCGCCTCGCTTCTGGGCGGGGTCGGGGCGTGGCTTGTAGGGGGCGTGGCCTTACCGTCACGCACAGTCCCAGCCCTCAGCCGTCGTCGGTCTCCGGGAGGCGGCAACAGCTCCTCATCTGCCGTTCGGGGTTGGCGGGGCTCTCTGCACCCCGGCTTTCTGGTGACTATGGGGGACCCCAGCAAGCAGGACATCCTGACCATCTTCAAGCGCCTGCGCTCGGTGCCCACCAACAAGGTAAGGGCCTCCGGGCATCCCCAGCGGACCGCGAGCGGCCCCTGCGGGGAGGAGGAGCCGCCGGCTGTGACACGTCGCACTGGGGCCGCGGCCGCCTGGGCCTCACCGGTCCGTACGGAAGGAGGCTCCCGGGGGCCCCTGGGCCGGGACAGACACCTGTGGGTTCTGTCACAGGGTCGGTGACTTATGGAGGGGTCCTGGGGGTGACCCGTGAGTTTCTGAGGGAGCTGGGGGCAGGCCCCTGGGGAACGAGCACTGGGGACCCCCGAAAGCGGGGCTGGATGCCTGCCCCCTCCCCATGGCTGGGGACGACGTCACAGGACACCTGTGACCCAGCGGAGTGTGGACCCCGCCGGTGACCCTGAGATAGGAATCCCCACCCGGGGGTTCCTCGGAGCACCCATGGGGACCCGGTGGGACCCTTAACCCCCTAGTGACTTTCCTGTCTGACAAAGCTGCCCAGGGGTCAGCTTTTTGTCTTTGCCTAAGAAAGTTGATCACAAACCGTCTCCTTTTCTCTGTTCCTGTCTCTTTGGAGATTGGGGTTTGGGGTTTCCTTTAGCAGTTATTTCCCCCTTAAAACGTTGGCAAACATTTTGCCACTGGCTGGTGGTGTGGTGATGACGAAAGGCAAGAAGGTGACAAGCATCAGCTGAGATCACAGGCCAGAGTGCAAAGGGCTGCCCAGTCAGGATGGACTCTCCCCACCCCTCCAGTCTGTCAGTGTGTCCGTCTGTCCGTCTGTCCCAGAGCCTGCGAAGGGCCCTGGCCTTGATCCATGCCTCTCCCTACCTTTTCACACTCACACACAGTCCTCAAGTGAACAGCTGTTAGCCAGCATGGCCCTGAGTCTGCAGATGAGACCAAGGAGAACCCCAGAGTTGTACTAAGTTGAGGTGCCTTTGTTTTCTGTCTTTATGATGGTAGAGGTTGGTGATGGTGGTTGGTGGTTCTGTGCCGTGGAGTCGCTTCCGACTCATAGCGACCCTGTATAGGGTTTCCGAGGCTGTAAATCTTTACGGGAGAAGAAAGTCTCATATTTCTCCCGCAGAACAGCTGGTAGTTTCCAGTTGATAGAGGCTGGGTGCCACCAAAGGTGGTTTCCACTCATAGCAACCCCATGTGTGACCCTAGGGTTTTGTAACTTCAGATTTTCCTATGTGGCCCTGGTGTGGCACTGTCGGATAAGCACTTGATCATAAGGTCTGTTTAAACTGCACGGTCAACAGTTGAAACTCACCAGTCACTCTTTAGAAACCTTCTGTAGGGTCACTATGAGTTGGAACTAACTCGATGGTAATTAACAGCAACAACAAAAATTAACATGGGGGGTCCTGTTGTGATGTTGTGGGGTAAGCACTAGACCACAAGGTCGATTTGAACTGCACGGTCATCAGTTCAAACCCACCAGTCGTATCTTGGAAACCCTATACAGGGTCACTCTGAGTCCAAACTTTGCCAAAGCAGATCGCCAGGTCTTTCTTCCCAGGAGCTGCTGGGGAAGTTCAAACCACCCACCTTTGCGTTCACTCTCAAGTGCTTAACCATTGTGCCACCAGGGCTCCTTGATCGTGGAGGGACATTTGTATTTTTTATAGATGGTGAGGAGAGAGGAAGGAAGCAGCTAATTGTGGGTGGTGTCTGCCAATTTCAGGAAAGCTGGGAGGAGAAAGCCCAGTGCCACGTTTCTTTGGTATTTTCTTCCAATTTTGATTGTTCTGCCTATAGAGTGTTGTGGTGGTTGTTACGTGCTGTTGAGTCAGTTCTGATACTTAGCAACCCTATACAGAGTTTCCAAGGAGAAGCTAGTGGGTTTGAACCTGTGACCTTATGAAGAGTTGCTGTTGTTAAGTTCCGTGGAGTCGGCTGTGACTCATAGCTATCCTGTATAGTGAGTGTTTCCGACACTGTAAATCTTTGTGGGAGCAGAAAACCTCATCTTTCTCTTGAGGAGCAACTGGTGGGCTCAAACTGTTGACCTTGTGGTTCACAGTCCAGTGTTTGTCCTCTAGAGCAAATCTAGGATCAGCACTTCACATTGTGGAAACTAGAATTTTTGCTGTCTTTATTATAGAAGCAGATCAACATGTGTTCTCTCTGAGTTCATCACAGGCAGGATTGTTGTTGTTAAGTGCCGAGTAGTCTGTTCCAACTCGCGGTGACTCACAGTATAAGGTTTCTGAGGAGCAGCTGGTGGGTTTGAACCACAGACCTTGTGGTTAGTAGTCTAATGCTTATCCTTATCCACACCAGGACTCCCTTCTAAATATGAAGTCAGTGTCTTTCTACCAAGAGGGATTTTTTTGTCCCCTGAACATTTTATTGTGACTTAGGTAAAAGTTTACAAAGTTTCCTGTTGTAAACTTGTGAGAATTCAGTGAGGTCATCTAAGAAAAGTGCTTTGAGCAGCAGCTGCGTTTAAGAAGCAAACTTGTTCCCGCCGAGTGGATTCAGATGCGCAGCGGCTCCCTGTGTTAGACTAGAACTGCGTCATTGGGTTTCCTTGGCTCTCATCTTTCCAGAAGCACATTGCCAGGGCCTTTTTCAGCAGTGCCACTGGGTGAGTTCTAATCACCAAGCTCTAGGTTAGTGGTCGTGGGGGTGCTTAGGTGCTGTGGAGTTGCTGCGACTCATAGCGACCCCATACCGGGTTTCTGAGGCTGTAAATCTTTATGGGAGCAGAAAGCCTCATCTTTCTCCCGCGGAACAGCTGGTAGTTTCAAACTGCTGACCTTGAGGTTTGCAGTCCGATTCATAACCACTAGGTTAGTAGGCAAGTGCAAACTGCTTGTGTCAACTGGAGACCATAGTATATGTATGTCGTTGCGTATGTTCTTGCATGTGTTGTTGCGTATGTTGTGTATGTTGCATATGTTGTGTGTGTTGTTGCGTATATTGTGTATGTTGTTGTGTATGTTGTTGTGAAGTGCCACTGACTTGGTTCCAACTCACAGCGACCCTGTGTTTGAACTGATGACTTTGTGGTTAGCAATTCAAAGCTAATCTTTATCACCACACCAGGACGCCTAGTGCCAGCATTGGAGCCTGTATAGGGTTTCTGAGGCTTTTTAGTCTTTGCAAGAACAGAAAAAGCCTCATCGTTCTCCTAGTGTTGCTGAGTGTCATCGAGTCAATTCCAACCCATAATGACCCTGTATAGGGTTTCCAAGGAACAGCTGGTGAGCTTGAACCACTGACCTTGCAGTTCAGACGGCTTTGCAGTCTGGCACATTAACCCACAAACGCCATTGTTGTGATGTGCCATGGAGCTGGTTCCAACTCATAGCGACCTGTACCGGGTTTCTGAGGCAGTAAATCTTTACGGGAGCAGAAAGTCTCATCTTTCTCCTGCAGAACAGCTGGTAGTTTTGAACTGATGGCTGTGAGATTAGCAGCCCAATTCGTAACCACTATGCTATCAGAGCTCCTTCACAACGCCATTTGTTGTTGTGAAATGCCATTTAGTTGGTTCCAACCCATAGTGACCCTAGATAGGGTTTCTAATGAGTGGCTGGTGAGCTTGAACTGCCAACCTTACAGTTCAAATGGCTTTGCAGTCTGGCGCATTAACCCACAGCGCCACACCAAGACTCCATTAGATGTCAGTAAATGTGAGCTGTGTTATGTGGTGATTTTTCTTATGAAGAACACACCTATGGAAATATTTATATTTTACAAGGTGGTGTTGGTGGATGTGTACCACCAAGTTGGTTCTGACGCGCAAGACCCTGTATAGGGTTTCCAAGGCTATAAATATTTACAGGAGCAGAAAGCCGCATCTTTCTCCCATAGAGCAGCTGGTAGCTTTGCAATACTGACCTTGTCCTTAGCGGCCCAGTTTGTAATCCACTATGCTACCTGGGCTCCTCATATTTTACAGTAGGATTAATGAAAGCATTGAACAGAAATCTTTTGTGGTAACGTTCCACAGGAATGCGCTGTATTTCTTGATAAGAGTGTTTCATTTGGGGATTGGTGGTGTTATGTGCCTTCAAGTCAGTCCCAGCTCACAGTGACTCTGTAGAGGGTTTCCGAGGTTGTCAGTCTCCATGGGAGCAGAAAGCCTAATCTTTCTCCCGAGGGTACCTGCTGGATTCAACCTTGCTGCTAACAGCTCAGTGTGTGACCCACGACACCACCAGGCTCCTTATTTGGTGATTGGTAGGAGTTCTGGTGTGGCGCTATTGGCTAAGGCGCTAGACTGCCAAGCCGCTTCAAACCACAAGGTTGGCAGTTCTAGCTCACCAGCTGTTCCTTGGAAACTCTATACAGGGTCATTATGGGTCGGAACCATACAACAACAACAGGAAGTTACTACTCAAAGCTGAAAACTAGTTCTCAGTGTATAACAGTCAACTAACAAGGACCAGTTTTTGAACGGGACAGAAAAGAGCTCTAACTCTGCTATCCCAGTAGGCATTGGACTGCTAACCGAAAAGTTTGCATTTCAAACCTCCTAGCTGCTCCTTGGGAGAACGATGAGGCCATCTGCGCCGGTAAAGATTTAGTCTCAGAAACCCTAAGAAGCGGCTGTGCTGTGTCTTGTAGGATTGCTATGAACCGGAATCAACTGCCGGCAGTGGGATTTGTGAGCCAGGAGAGGTAATAGAAAAAAACAAAACTGACTTGGTTCATTTTTAGAATATGGAATTCATAGAATACGGAATTCAATTTCTTCCTCTGGTATATGATGAATATTTACTGTGGATCAAAGGTTCTAATTTGTTATTGTTGTTGCTAAGTTTCGTCAAGTCAGTTCCCACTCATAGCAACCCTTTCTTTATAGGGTTTCTGAGGAGCGGCTGGTGAGTTTGAACCACCGACCTTGTGGTTCAAACCAACCTTAAGGTTGAGTGCTTATCCTACAGTGCCACACCAGGACGTTAGTTTTTCTAGTTTGTGAAATCCCTTCTTGTTGGTTCCCAGTTTCACATGGATTGTTGAAATTATTCACTCAACAACTGTCCAGGGAGCACCTAGACTGTGTCAAGTACTGGGGG